TAATTATTATTGACAATGTTGCTGATTATTGACCTTTCAATATTTTGTAGCCATTGCTTAATTTTACGTTTGAAAAATCCATGATTTTTTATAGTTCTGAGTTGAATGGGTATGTAATTGAATAATTTTGCACTTAGAAAAATGAAGCTTCTTTGACCAATACTCTTTTCACATTGGGGAATTTTGACACTTCGTTGTCTTTGACGAGTGTCGTAATCATGTTCGACAGGGTGGAGTTTTATTTTCTTAGAATGTGAATCATTTAAGATTTTTTGGCAGTATAGCTGCCGAATATCCAATATTTTACTATCTTTGTATAATTCATCGCTAGACGAAGTTCTCTTTTTTCGGTATATTAGTCTCAATATCCATTTTTGTAGTACATTTACCTTATTCAAATGAATCTCATTTACTCCCCCCCATCCAATGATTCCATAGGTAAGTTGTGTTTGAATTAGGGCGTAGTATACAGATTTCAAGTGCTCTATGTCAAGAAATTCTCTGAGGAGTTTGAATCTACCGAGAAATCCTCTAATTTTTTTCCCCAGATTGGACATTTGTAAGTCCCATCGCAAATGTCTATCAATAATTATCCCCAGATATTTGACAGATTCTGCTTCTGGTATTGATGTATTTTGATCAATTTTCAAATTTCCCAATTGTGGTAAGTTGCTAACATATGATGTGAACGGAAGATATTGAGTTTTTTCTATATTTAGAGTCAATTTGTTTAGTTGAAACCAGGATTTAATTGTTTTGAAATCTAATTCTACTTCTTGTTTCAACGCCATACATGTATCTGATTGATAGAATATTGCGGTGTCATCCGCAAAGCTTAGAGTAGCTCCCTTCAGGTTCATAGTTAGTAAGCTATTTATATATATAGTGAACAGAACTGGTCCAAGAACTGTTCCTTGAGGTACTCCGTAAGATACTTTCCTCGGTTGACTGATGACACCGTCTATATCGACGTGTTGTTGACGATCCGACAGGTAGTTTTCTAAAAGTTGATATGTTTGTCCTCTTATACCATATATCTTCAATTTTTTCAACAAGGTTTCATGGCAAACCGTATCGAAAGCTTTAGAGAGGTCGATGAAAACACATAATGCGGGTTTATTGGAGTCAATTGCGTTATATATCAATTTTGTCAGAGATCTAATTGCATCGTCGGTTGACCTTCCCTCCCTAAAGCCATACTGATTTTCAGAAAAAACCTGATGCTTATCGAAAAACTTGACTAGTCGGATTTTAATGATTTTTTCAAATACCTTAGCAAGAGTTGAAATTAAAGATATTGGTCGATAGTTTCCTACTCTGGTTTTTTCTCCTCTTTTGAAAAGAGGTTTGATCAACCCTATCTCCATGGATTTCGGAAAATATCCATGTTCAATGCACTTATTGATTATATAACATAGCGGCGGAGCAATGAATTCTGATATTGGTTTGAGGGTATCTGCCCTGATTTTGTCTATTCCAGGTGCTTTATTGCATTTTAGATTATTTATAATAGAAGTTACTTCAACGTCAGTAGTTGGAAATAAATATATCGTGTTTTCCAGCGTGGGAATATTTTCAGTTAAACCGATTGGTGTATCAATGTTATCAGCGAGTTTTTTTCCCAAGTCACTGAAATATTTGTTGAATTCTTCAGCTATTTGGTTTTTGTCAGTAATTGTGTTGGTTTCTGTTTGTATCATTTTTATTTTCGTTTCGGTTTTTGACTTGTTACAAATCTTATTCACGCATTTCCACAAACTTTTCGCTGAGTTTTTATTACTATCTACAGTTTTCCTGAAATAATCTCTTTTCGACTTCTGGATAAGATGATTTAATCTATTTTTATAGTTTTTATATTCATTAATCAAAATATTGTTGGGTTCTCTTTGAATTCTTGAATATAACTCATATTTTCTATTTACGGACTTTAAAAGTCCTGACGTGATCCAAGGTTTTTTGCTCCTGTATTTATTCGATGTTTTAATTCTTTTTGTGTTATTATCGATGTGATAGTTCAGTCTGTTAATGAATGTTTCCATCATTTGATCAATATCGTTCAGCGTGTTGACATTTTCCCAGGTTTCACTGCTGATATCATTTTTCAAATTTATATAATCAATGATGGTCCTATGATTCTTATGTGATTCGCTTTGGAGTTGTTCTCTAGGATTATCCAGTTTAATCACTAGAATGATAGGATCATGATCGGTTAAATCGTTATTTATAATATAAGAATAAACTTCTTCAAAGTACTTACGACTGTTTTTAACATAAAAGTGATCAAGACAAGAGTTACTCATTCTTCTCGTGACATCATTTATGTATGAAATAAAATCTGAAGAATTCAGCACATTTTTATACTCTTCTGAATATTCGCTATCATCGAGTAAGTTGATATTAATATCACCAGTGATGATGTGGTTATTGAATTTCGAGTTTTCTAGGTACGTCAGTAAATCTGTATTGAACAATTTCGGGCAGGTACTGGGTGATCTATAAGCTGCTGTTAAAATGATCGGTTCTTTAAAATTTTGAACATTCAGTTCAATAGCTTTTGACGGTCCCATATCTATCAACTTGTAACTATAATCATAATGTTTTTTCAAATATATTATGGTTCCATCATGTTGATTGAATTTTCCATTGTTATATATTGTATTATAGCCCTCTATATTAAATAAATCTATGTCATGTATCATGAATGTTTCTGTGAGAACTATTATATCAAAATCATTATTCATTTGGCTGATCATTAAAACCAAATCATCATAATGTTTTTGGATACTTCTTATATTCATATGAATTATTTTAATGAGTGATATTTCATTTTCTAATGTTACATCTAATTCTGAAAAATTATTGAGTTTTTTTGCTTTTATTGGTTCATTTTCGTATTCCTTTATGTAGGGATCCATTTTTGTTTTTCTTTTTTATATATATATTACCGTTTATAAAAGAATTGAAATAGTTTGAATTTAATAAAAAGTTATTGATTAGACAAATTATATAAACAACATCTGAAAGACTTAAATGCGTCCATTTGATACTGAACCAGATCTCAAATACTTGGTTCTTTCCTTCAGAGCAGGTTCAGGTGCAGCAGTTGTTCTCGATGTTTTCTTGGAAAGGCTGATAGCTATTGGGTTGGTACTGTTCTTATCTTCGTTTGTTGCACTAGACCCTCCACTGGCTGAGTTGTCGTTTGTGGATTTGCCTTCTGAAGCCTTCTCCTCTCTATCGCGATTACTCAATTGGAAAAATTCCTTATCGAGGTCTCGTATGGAAGGTGTTGATGGAGCACTATTGTTCTTTCGATTTCCTACTTGACAATTTTCGTTTTCTTCGAGTTCTTCGACAGTATAAGCTTTATTGTTTATGTACAATTTAGTTCCTTTTATATAAGAATGTACTGAAGGATTTTGTCTTGCTTTGTTCAGATGATTCCTGAGTATTTTATTTTGGCACCTTTGTTTGTAGGTAAGATCGTTCGTAATCGATATACCAGACCCTTTCAGTTTCTTGCAATTTCTAAGAACTTCTAGTTTCTTGAAATATGAGATGAATTCAACCTTCAGTGGATTTCTTCCTTGAGTTCTTAATCTGTACGTATTATTCAAATCAGACACCTGTACCTCGACGTCCAGTAGTTTTTTGAGCTCGTTGCACACCGATGTAGGTGAAATATCCTCGGTATCTTCTAAACCATATATAATGATATTGTTTTTCTTGGTTGTAGTCTCCAGGGCCTCTATTTTGTTTGAAAGAGTTGAGTTTTCAGTTTCTAATTCATTCACTCTATGATTGAGCTCCTCAATTTTGAGTAGAAGTTTACTTTCAGATGCTTCGATAGCCAATTTGATATCTTTTTTGCTATTTATGATTTCCTCCCTCAAGATTTTAATTACCTTTTCCCATTCACTTGCCATAATGTGAATTAGACTTTTTCAATTTGCAGCGTATATGGGTCCCTTTACTTTTTACGCTTATTTACATGCTTATCAGCCGATAAGAGAAATAAATTCAAGGTATTGTTTGTGATGTTGTACTCACGAATGTATCAAATAGCCACTAATCCTTCGATTGTCGGTTTGTCTTTTTCGTGGATCACGTAACTTGAACTACATTTATTCGTGGTGCGGATTTTCCAATTTCGCAATTAAGTTATCCACTCAATAGAACAGTATACACTCGGCACTTATTAAGATATAAGAATAGAGCTTCTCCAGAAAAGAAAAAATGGACGTGTACATTCTTAGCGACACAGATATTCATCTTCAATGAAACAATTTGTCCAAACATTGTACTGCACCTTCCATCCACCTTCTGATAATGAAATGTTTTTGGAAAAATAGGTACTTACTCTCAGAAATTGGACTTAAAATTGACCTCAGGTACTCAATACCATTCAAGAACCTCTTTT